TATATATATATATATATATATATATATATAATACCCACAAGTCATAAGAAATCATGGAAAGTTACTTGAAAAAGGAAAAAATAAGCATTTCTTGTCACACAGCAAAAAGTTTTCCTCAACAAAGAATAATTAAAAACTGAAACCATGAGAAGTGCTTACACTTATTTTTCTTTACTAACAACTAGATATAATGTTTGTACAGTTAGAGGGGGTAGAACAGCAAATATTAGAGGGAATTCTAGATCCTTATCAAAATGAGTAAAGTTGGGACTTCCCTTTCTAACTAAGGGACTTCCCTTTCCATCTAAAGTGGGACAAACCACTTCTAGTGGTTAAGAATCTGCCTTGCAACGTGCGGGACATGGGTACAATCCCTGTTTGGGGAACGGGGATCCCACGTGTCCTGGGGCAACTGGGCCCTCCTGCCACAACTAGAGCACCCTGTGAGGCAACTAAGATCTGACACAAGTCAAATTAAAAAATAAAAAAATGAGTAAAGTATGGTCAGTGCAGATACTGAGATTTATTTAAAGGTTAATATTTAACTGTCACAGAAACATTGGTAATAATCGTGATATTCTGTAGCCAAATTTATCTGAAGCCAGTTTGCCTTTTAGGCTCAGATTTTGACAGTACACCAAGTGAATGTAAAATCCTGTAGACTTGTGTTAACTAGTTTAGTTCATAAACCTAACATGTAAAGCAGAATTCTAATTTGCTAAGGCATGATGAAAAATATGAAGGTAATACAGACTAGTAAATTCTTAATCTCCATTCTCTGAGCCAAAGAGTCATTTGGTAGGTGCTTGGCCTCAGAACAGGATTTATATTAATTGAATTTTATCGGCCTCAAGCTATTCCCTTGTAGAAGCTTCTCCCATTGGAATGTTAAAAATCTTCTGGATAAGGCTTTCTATATCCACTTCCCCAGTAGGGATGGTCTTTTTAATTTGGCCTTGATAATAGGTTAATCGCCACTCCCTATATCTCTTAACTTTTGTTTATGCCTGCCCTTAGAAAACTAAAAAAGAAAATGTGAAATATACTATTTCTTTTAGTTATTCAGTCTATTCTTACTAGCCCAAAATCTGATCTTTTTATGGCATGAGACAGATTTTTAATTTTTTTGCCCAACTAATATCCATTCAGTTCTTTCCCCCAGCAGAGCAGCCATGCAGTTTGGGTAGGAGAATGGAAGCGGGAGAGAGAGATTACTCCACCCCAGTTCAGGGTCAACCCCAGAGTTTCCAAAAGAATAAGGAGACTCCCAAAACCTCTGCTGTACTGATTGGTGCAGATAACCCATCCCAAAGGCAGTGATCAAAATGCCTCATTCCCACCGACCTGATTTATAAAAAAGCATGTGAACAAGCTCAAACAAATGAAAAATGAAACATGGTGTGCTAGTAACCTTTGCAAAAGATGATGTCTTACTCCACTCAGAAAACTACAAGCACATTCTCTTTCTGGAAAGTGTAATGTGAGATACTAAGGCTAGGGTGATTTACTACATAGAGAACCAAGCTTGGATGACTTTGCTCATCCTGCAAAGGCAGAACCCAAAGGCAGGAATTGCTCTAACGTAACATGACTGATATGCTTAATCAAATCATATTTGATTAAGACAAATATATGAAGACAAACTGTGGAAGATTTAAAATCTGTCCACTAAGTGTCAGATACATCTTCCTTTAAAATCTAAAATTAACTTCTTTCACTTTAACTGAACCTAGAACCTGTAACAGTTAGTGTGGCAGAGTAACAGTAACTTCCAAGACTAGGCCAGAGAGGACACTGCAGCCTCTTTCTTGTTCTCGCTCTCATTCTTTCTCTCCCTCCCTTCCTTCTTCCCTCTCTCCCATCCTCTCCATGTTTCTTGGGGAAGACAGCTGCCATGCCAAGGGGACACCCAAAGTGCCCTGTAAGGGCCACACAGTACGGAACTGGGGCCTCCTGCTCAGAGCCAGGAAGGAGCTGGCGCCTTTTCCCAACCATGGCATGAGTGAGTTATCCTGGAAGGGGATTCTCCAAGCTTAGGCAAGTATTGAAATGAAGGAAGCCCTAGCTAACATCTTGACTGCCATTTCATCAGAAATCAAGCTAAGATCACCCAGGAAAGTCATTCCATAATCCCTGAACCACAGAAACCATGGGGGGAAAAAAAGCTTATTGACTTAATCTGCTAAATGTTGGCATAATTTGTTCAACATTAGAAGAAGAATATGCTATCCAACCTCTGGAATGTCTAATCTACACAGTTAATATTCCTCTTTATGTTATCACTTAAATTCCTTTGTTATTACTTTTTTTATTATTAAGTAATGAGCCCTAAATTGCTATAAGGTAATATGTATTTTTACTGTGATCTATGACATAGTAATATAATAATATTTTAGTTTAATTCTAAAAGAAAATTATTATTTCCAAATCCTTGGGCAAAAAGAAGGTAGAAAGGAACAACTTTCTTGGTAGTAAACAAGGTACTGGAAGGCGTAGGAAGGAAGCACCGTTTTCTGTCATCAGCGGTCACAGGAGGAAAGCGCTCTCAGGCAAAGTAGCTAAAGAAGGTAAAGATGTCCACCATCTAAAACTGACTTTAGATCTCTCTTTACAAGTCTGGTATACTGATTTCCTGCCACCTCAGGCTATTGGTTCTAAGTCTGAGGTCTTAGATACCTCAGCTTCCCGTCATAACTGGATTTAGGCAACAATGTTCATACTGTATTACAACAAACACTTATTGGAAAAGATGAGCCCTGATTCTGGGAAAGGTTAAGGGTGGGAAGAGAAGGGACGACAGAGGATGAGATCCTTGAATGGCATCACCGACTCAATGGACATGAGTTTCAGCAAACTCAGGGAGATAGTGAAGGGCAGGGAAGCCTGGAGTGCTGCAGTCCATGGGGTCACAAACAGTCTGACCTGACTTGGTGACTGAATAACAACACATGAGATGTTAGGTCCACACAAACTCAAATCATGCCAAGAATGTTTGGCAAAGAGTTCAAGGTGCTATTATGCTGGTGACAAGAGAAAAGAGTGCCAATCTGCAAAGAAAAAATCAAGTTAGATAAACAGCAGAAAACCATGTTGGATAAGAAAGAGAAACAAGACTGAATTAATATCTAAATATGAGTAGAGACCAAGTGAACTGATGATCAGTAACTTGAAGACTTAAAATAGGTTATGGAAAACTCAGTTATTAGGATTAATAAAAGTCAAAGTATAAGCCACTTGGAGAATAAAACGGAAAACTGCAATGCAACAGAGGAATCCAATGATTCAGACACACAGAGATAGAACTGGCTCTAAGCTAAGCCCACAGGTATGCACTGACTGGGTCAATCTGTCAAAATAAAACAGAGCAAAGATGGAGAAAAAAAGAAGCAATTATTTTAGTGACACCATGAAATTATACTGACATTTGCATATTTTTATTGACTCTACTAAAATGTATGATATATGTACAAATATGTCCACAATAGAATCTCAAATGATACGGTCAACTTTCACTTTTCCTAAGGTTTCTGTTGCTCATAGAACTCAGGTTTTCTCTCTCTGATTTAGGAAGAAAAATAATTAACATTTACTTCAATATTATATTTCATGCTATGAACTAGGGGGGAAAAAAGCACTGTTTTGTTTAACTGACTCAAAATTAATCTAGACTGAACATTACTATGGTCCTTTTAAAGGTGGGGAGATCTGGGATCAGAATTCACAATTGTAATAATGGAGGCAGAATTCAAATACATCCATGTGCCCTCTAAGATGTCATCACTTTCTTTACTTACTAACAGATAAAACTGTTTCAGAGACTAATCATAACTTTACCCAATGCATTTTTTTTTTTTTAGAAAATAAAGTGCTGGCGACGGCCGTGGCGGCCTTAGCCGGCCCTCACGCTCTTAACCTTCCTGGGGCGCCAACCCCGCCCGCCAGCTTGCTAGCTTTCCTGCCCGGCGCCACGGAGGAGAAGGCGCCAGGAAACGCAGAGCGGCGAGAGGCTCGTGGCCCCGGCCAGCTCCGTCTCCAGCGTTAGCGCCGCGGCCGTGGCGGAGGACGACGAGGACGAGGGCCGCTCTTCTCGCTCCCTGCTTGCGGCGCGGCTCCACTGACGGGCCCTCGGGAGTGCAGGCGGGCAGGCGGGATGGAGTGATAGGGAAGATGTTTGTGGATTCTTCTGTGGGATTAGAGGGGACGCCTATTGTAATCAGAAAACTCCAAGTATAGCAGCAGGAATGGATGAACAGGCTCTCTTAGGTCTAAATCCAAATGCTGATTCAGACTTTCAGACAAAGGGCCCTGGCCTATTTTGAACAGTTAAAGATTTCCCCAGATGCCTGGCAGGTGTGTGCAGAAGCTCTGGCTCAGAGGACGTACAGTGATGATCATATTAAGTTTTTCTGCTTCCAAGTACTGGAACATCAAGTTAAATACAAATATTCAGAACTAACCACTGTTCAACAACAACTAATTAGAGAGACGCTTGTATCTTGGCTTCAAGCTCAGATGCTCAATCCCCAACCAGAGAAGACCTTCATATGAAATAAAGCTGCCCAAGTCTTCGCCTTGCTTTTTGTTACATAATATCTCACTAAATGGCCCAAATTTTTTTTTTACATTCTCTCAGTAGTGGACCTAAATCCAAGGGGAGTAGATCTGTACCTCCGAATTCTCATGGCTATTGATTCAGAGCTGGTGGATCATGATGTGGTTCACACCTCAGAGGAGGCTCGTAGGAATACTCTCATAAAGGATACTATGAGGGAACAGTGCATTCCAAACTTGGTGGAATCATGGTACCAAATCCTACAAAATTATCAGTATACCAATTCAGAAGTGACATGCCAGTGCCTTGAAGTAGTTGGGGCTTATGTCTCTTGGATAGACTTATCCCTTATAGCCAATGATACGTTTATAAATATGCTGCTAGGTCATATGTCAATAGAAGTTCTACGGGAAGAACTGATTGTTTATTTGAAATTGTAAATAAAGGAATGGATCCTGTTGATAAAATGAAACTGGTAGAATCTTTGTGTCAAGTGTTACAGTCTGCTGGGTTTTTCAGCATTGACCGGGAAGAAGATGTTGACTTCCTGGCCAGATTTTCTAAATTGGTCAATGGAATGGGACAGTCATTGATAGTTAGCTGGACTAAATTAATTAAAAATGGGGATATCAAAAATGCTCAGGAGGCACTGCAAGGTACTGAAACAAAGGTGGCGCTGATGTTGCAGCTCCTAATTCATGAGGATGATGACATCTCTTCTAACATTATTGGATTTTGTTACGATTATCTTCATATTTTGAAACAGCTTACAGTGCTTTCAGATCAACAAAAAGCTAATGTAGAGGCAATCATGTTGGCCGTTATGAAAAAATTAACTTACGATGAAGAATATAACTTTGAAAATGAGGGTGAAGACGAAGCCATGTTTGTAGAATATAGAAAACAACTGAAGTTATTGTTGGACAGGCTTGCTCAAGTTTCACCAGAGTTACTGCTGGCTTCTGTTCGCAGAGTGTTCAGTTCTACACTGCAGAACTGGTAGACTACACGGTTTATGGAAGCTGAAGTGGCAATAAGATTGCTGTATATGTTGGCAGAAGCTCTTCCAGTATCTCATGGTGCTCACTTCTCAGGGGATGTTTCAAAAGCTAGTGCTTTGCAGGATATGATGCGAACTCTGGTGACATCAGGAGTTAGTTCCTATCAACACACATCTGTGACATTGGAGTTCTTCGAAACGGTTGTTAGATACGAAAAGTTTTTCACAGTTGAACCTCAGCACATTCCATGTGTACTAATGGCTTTCTTAGATCACAGGGGTCTGTGGCACCCTAGTGCTAAAGTCCAGAGCAGAACCGCTTACCTATTCTCCAGATTTGTTAAATCTCTCAACAAACAAATGAATCCTTTCATTGAGGATATTCTGAATAGAATACAAGATTTATTAGAGCTTTCTCCACCTGAGAATGGTTACCAGTCCTTGTTGAGCAGCGACAATCAATTATTTATCTATGAGACAGCTGGAGTGCTAATTGTTAATAGTGAGTATCCAGCAGAGCGGAAGCAGGCATTAATGAGGAATCTGTTGACTCCACTCATGGAGAAGTTTAAAATTCTGTTAGAAAAATTGATGCTGGCACAGGACGAAGAAAGGCAGGCATCTCTAGCAGACTGTCTCAACCATGCTGTTGGATTTGCTAGTCGAACCAGCAAAGCTTTCAGCAACAAGCAGACCGTGAAGCAGTGTGGCTGCTCGGAAGTTTACCTGGACTGTTTACAGACATTCTTGCCAGCTCTCAGCTGTCCCTTACAAAAGGATGTTCTCAGAAGTGGAGTCCGCACTTTCCTTCATCGCATGATTATTTGCCTGGAGGAAGAAGTCCTTCCCTTCATTCCATCCGCTTCAGAACACATGCTCAAAGACTGTGAAGCAAAGGACCTCCAGGAATTCATCCCTCTCATCAACCAGATCACAGCCAAATTTAAGATACAGGTATCCCCATTTTTACAACAGATGTTCATGCCTCTTCTTCATGCAATTTTTGAAGTTTTGCTCCGACCAGCAGAAGAAAATGACCAGTCTGCTGCTTTAGAGAAGCAGATGTTGCGGAGGAGTTACTTTGCTTTCCTGCAAACCGTCACGGGCAGCGGAATGAGTGAAGTCATAGCAAATCAAGGTGCAGAGAATGTAGAACAAGTGCTGGTTCCTGTTATTCAAGGAGCAGTCGAATATCCAGATCCCATTGCTCAGAAAACATGTTTTATTATCCTTTCCAAGTTGGTAGAACTCTGGGGAGGTAAAGATGGACCAGTGGGATTTGCTGATTTTGTTTATAAGCACATTGTCCCCGCATGTTTCCTAGCACCTTTAAAACAAACCTTTGACCTGGCAGATGCACAAACAGTATTGGCTTTATCTGAGTGTGCGGTGACACTGAAAACAATTCATCTCAAACGGGGCCCAGAATGTGTTCAGTATCTTCAACAGGAATACCTGCCTTCCTTGCAAGTAGCTCCAGAGATAATTCAGGAGTTTTGTCAAGCGCTTCAGCAACCTGATGCTAAAGTTTTTAAAAACTACTTAAAGGTGTTCTTCCAGAGAGCAAAGCCCTGAGGACTAGATCTCCCCGTGCCTACTTCATGATCAGGAATTCCAGTTAATAATTTATAAAGAAACAATTTTTTGTGTGCCGTTCACACTGGTCTTTTTAACATTGCTCTGAGCTTATTGCAGTATATGTATTGGGATTTTTTTCTGTAAAATGGGTGTAATTTTCCCTAAATTACAGGTATGTGACAACATAGAGAAGTTGCATGCCGATTAAATCGTTCTATGTAAAAATGCTGTTGTAAGATAAGCAGTTATCCTAGTACCTTTTTTTTAACTTGAAATTTTTAAGTCCTTTATAAAGACCATAGCAAGAAAGCAGTGTACTTCTTTTTCATTAATGAATATAAAATGTTTGAAAATTTAAATTTTTGTTTTATGTGTGCAGACTCATAAACTGTTTCATTTATGTGTGCAGACTCATAAAAAAGTGGGGGGAATAAAATCAAAATTAACTTTTTTGTAGATAGCTATTACATTTCCTTAAACTGTTTCAATGCCAATGTGTATTCTACAAAACAGAATGGTTTCATAAATTAACTGATTGAAGAGTAGGTGCTGGTGTTATACATTTTTTATTAAAAAAAGCAAATAAATTTTACGTAGTGAAATATAAAAGAAAAAAAAGAAAATAAAGTGCTGGCAATTATTTAGGAAGTTGAAATTAACCACTATTACACACTATTACAGTGTTTGTCTTTATGTTTTGGGGATTTGGTTATTTTGGTTTTTTCTTTTTTCTTGGCTGTGCTGGGTCTTTGTTGAGGCACACAGTCTTCTCTAGTTATGGCCTGTGGGCTTAGCGCTCCAGGGCACGTGGGATCTTAGTTCCCCCACCAGGGATCGAAACTGCATTGGAAGGTGGATTCTTTACCACTTTCCAAATCAAGAAAGGAGTACATCGAGGCTGTATATTGTCACCCTGCTTATTTAACTTATATGCAGAGTACATCATGAGAAAGGCTGGGCTGGAGGAAGCACAAGCTGGAATCAAGATTGCCGGGAGAAATATCAATAATCTCAGATATGCAGATGACACCATGCTTATGGCAGAAAGTGAAGCGCTAAAAAGCCTCATGATGAAAGTGAAAGAGGAGAGTGAAAAAGTTGGGTTAAAACTCAGTGTTCAGAAAACTAAGATTGTGGCATCTGATCCCATCACTTATGGAAAATAGATGGGGAAACGAGGGAAACAGTGACAGACTTTATTTTGGGGGCTCCAAAATCACTGCAGATGGTGACTGCAGCCATGAAATTAAAAGACACTTGCTCTTTGGAAGAAAAATTATGACCAACCTAGACAACACACTAAAAAGCAGAGACATTACTTTGCCAACAAAGGTCCGTCTAGTCAAAGCTACAGTTTTTCCAGTAGTCATGCATGGATGTGAGAGCTGGACTATAAAGAAAGCTGAAGAATTGATGCTTTTGGACTGTGGTGTTGGAGAAGACTCTTGAGAGTCCCTTGGACTGCAAGGAGATCCAACCAGTTCATCCTAAAGGAAATCAGTCCTGAATATTCATTGGAAGGACTGATGCTGAAGCTCCAATACTTTGACCACCTGATGTGAAGAACTGACTCATTGAAAAAGACCCTGATTTGGGGAAGGGTTGAAGGGGGAGGAGAAAGGGATGACTGAGGATGAGGTGTTTGGATGGCATCACTGACTCAATGGACATGAGTTTGAGCAAGCTCTGGGAGTTGGTGATGGACAGGGAAGCCTGGAGGGCTGCAGTCCATGGGGTCGCAAAGAGTAGGACATGACTGAGAGACTGGACTGAACTGAACCAGGGAAGTATTTTTATAGTAATAGTGAGGCAGAATCCACAGTTTCAGTACAACCTGGGTAACTACTACGCTTTACTTTTTTGCTACCCATAATAGTGCTTTTACATAGAGCACCTATCCATTCATATGTGGACTACTGCCATTCCTCTTCAGTTTTCTAATCCTTCACTCCATGCATGCACTGATTCAAGGAGTAATTAACTGAGCATTTGTTATAAAAAGGTATGCTTCTGCCTCCACCTATTGTAAGACATTTGATTATGTCACCTTTGTTTAAGTAGAAATATACCAATTGCCCATACTTTAATAGTCAGGATCTATAGACACATACCACAAATATGTATATATAATATATATGTGTATAATTTCTAAACTAGAAAAGTTCTTGCAATAAGCATGTATTAAAATTAAGGCTTTATAAATAAGAGTTTTACTTCTAGATTACTAAAATGACCTTGCCTGAGATTAGGACAACAATGCAATAAACAATTCAAGTGTTAAGTAATATCTCTTTTTCTGTAACTTCAATCAATATACTGGAATCAATTTGAATGCAATTTCTAGTAATAAATTTGTTTGAGACCTACATATGGCTGTATTAACCCAAAGCAAAATAATAAAAATATTTTCTGTTCTTTGATGCAGATACAAAATTTATCAGTGCTAAAGGACAAATATATTTGAATAAACAGATTCATTTTCAGCATCTAACAATTTTCTTTTTCCCCTACTCTGTTTGAGTTTTAATTTGTATTTTATGTCCATCATATAAAAGATGGGTTTTCTGTTGCTCTTTTTTCTTAAAGGTCTGTAGTGGTGGAGCACACATTTCACATTCAGTGCAATGCATTCATAAAGAGAATTTACATATTATAAAATTAACATAAATTTTGCTGCTATTTATGCATCCTATCTGGTCATACTCAAGATCAGGTAATGGGCTGTTTGTCTGTGTTGCAAATAGAAATAACTCAAGTTATTCATACATCTCAACTGCAAATCTATCACTTTGATATTTTTACACTTTTTATATATTTTGTGTCTTAGCAGTATATATCAACTAGGCACATTGAGACAGAAGGTTAAATGTTTGGCTTAATGACTTAAAACTCCAGGGAAAGGGTTTTCAATAATTTTTGGTGAGGGATGCAGTATTTACTGCTACATTCTGCAGGAGCCTGACTCTTATTTCATACAGAGTAGAGCTAACCATCTCCATTTCTGCAACAATTGTTAACAAGCCTTCAAGGCTACTCCACAATTTCTCTGGTTTCCTGCTTCCTCCTCTCCCATTAAATACTGATAAAATCCTATTTGAATCTTTTGGCTAAGCAATCCCAAAGGTCAGGAGAAGCCTGGCCCATTTCCACTTTTGGAGGCCCCATTTATATTAAAGAAAAAAAAAGAAACAATAAAACAGAGTTATAAAAATTGTTATATACCTAAAATGCTTAATATTTTAAAAGTTATTGATTTGTCTTGGGCATATACACAGATTCAATAAAATTTAATTAGGCTATACAAGATACTTGCAGGATTTATAAAAATTAATTAATTAGAATATTTAAGACAATGGGTTCAGCAAAAAGACACAGAACTAAACTTCCATTATGGAGATGTTGGCCTCAGAGTATTTCTGGGTCTT